GCCTCCCAAAATGCTAGGATTACAGGTGAATCATATGAATCATTTCTAAAACTAGGACTTGGGCCGAAACAACTCAACATGCTTAAAATACTAGATGATTTGGCAGAACCAATCAGTATTGTATAAACGAAACATTTTTAAATAAGGAGAATTTATTTTCTCTCATAGAATTATGTTATCTAGAGTAAGATGATTAATTGTGTGTGTCCACTTGACTGGCCACAGGGTGCTTAGACTAAATATGATTTCTGTTGTGTCTTTCTAGATGTTTCTGGGTAAGATTCACATTCAAATTCATGGACTCATTAAAGTAGATGGCCCTCTCCAATGCGGGTGGGCATCATCCAATCTGTTGAAGGCGTGAAGAGAACAAAAGGGGGAGGAAGGAAGAATTCACCATTTTTCTTGCTGCCCACCTGCTTGGGCTGGGACATCTCATCTCACCTTCTCCAGCCTTTGGATGAGGATTTACACCTTGGTTCTCAGGCCTTCAGGTTCTAACTGGAGCTACACTATCAGCTTTCCTGGCTCTCCAGATTGCAGTTGGTGGATCACGGTACTTTTTAGCCTCCATCATAATGTAAACCAATTCTTAATAATAAATCTATCTATCTATCTATCTATCTATCTATCTATCTATCTATCTATCTATCTCCTCTCTAGTTCCATTTCTCTGGAGAACCCTAACACATAGAGTTAGAAATTAGGTTTTTTGTTTTTTGCTTTTTTAGAGACGGAGTTTTGCTCTTGTCGCCCAGGTTGGACTGCAATGGCATGATCTTGGCTTACCGCAAATCCCATTCTCATGCTTCAGTCTCCTGAGTAGCTGGGACTACAGGTGTGTGCCAGTATTCTTAGTAGAGATGGAGTTTCATCATGTTGACCAGGCTGGTCTCGAACTCCTGACCTCAGGTGATCCACCCACCTCAGCCTCCCAAAGTGCTGGGATTACAGGCGTGAGCCACCACGTCTGGTCAAAATTAATTTTTTTTTTTTAATTTAAACAAGGCCTGTCTGTGAAAAAGGCAAAAAGAGATCTTTTAAACAATCCTGTTATGTCACAAAAATCTCAGTTGCTCTTATCACAGCTCTAAAAGTGAAATAGTCAGGTGAAATGGGAAAAAATTGTTCTTGATTATTCTAAATGGTTGTAAGGCACCACTTGTTATAGTGCTGCTTTTATTTTTTCTGTGTTACTTGTCAGGTTTGTGAGGGAGTAAAATATGTTCTTGGATACAGTAGTAAGAGAGAGAAGAAATTACTGCATTTCATCAACTTAAGATGCCACTGACTATAAGATGTACTGTTATTTTATGCACATTAAGAAAGAGAAAAAACTGTCATTAAACCATAACACAATATAGATCCATTTCAATTTCAGAGATGTTAAAATGTGAAAATAAGTGTGCATTTTAGAATCAATATGATATAGTAATTATTGACTGCCTACTATGTACCAGGCTTTGTTGCTGATCCTTGACAAACACTATCTTCATTAACCTAGTGATGTGTACCCCTGGCCCTATTTTACAGATGAGAAAAAAGAGGCACAGTGAAGCTAAATATATTGGCTAAAGATCACAAAGTTAGTAAGCAGAACAAGCTACTTACCTACTTGAAGAAGAAACTTTCTCTTTTCAAACCTCTGTTCTGTTCTGTTCTTTTTTTTTTTTTTTAACTACAATAGTCATTTATTCTCTCTAACAGTTACTATTGGTGAGGAATTTTGGAGTAATTTGATTGAGTGTTCTCGCTTAAGGGTCTCTTATGAGTTTGCAGTTAGATGTCAGCTGTGGCTACATCATCTGGACACATGACTGAGGCTGGAACATTCAATTTCAAGGTATCTCACTCATATAGCTGTTAAGTTGGTGCTGGCTGTTGGCTAAGAGTCTTAATTTCTGGCCACATGGGCCACTCCATGGCTTGAGTGTCCTCTCAACATGGTGTCTGGATCTTTGGATTACAAAAGGCCGATGTGGAAACTGCAATGCCATTTATAATTTATCCTTGAAAGTTCACACACTTCTGCTGTACAAACTTCTGTTCTTACTTGTGACTCTTTTGTCAAGCTGTGCCTTGATAAATTGTAATACTTTTGAGTCTTTGAGGAAAGTGATCTGTTTTTAGTGTGGGTACTTTTCATTGATCTCAAACTCTTGTAGCATAATACTGGGAAGATAATGAGTCACTGAGTTTTAAATCATTACTTGAGTAATGTTAATGAGAATCTTTTGGGGTATATATTTGAATACCAAATAGTTTTTGACTATCCAAAAAGTGGTTTTCCTTGTTCTCTAGACAGGGACTTTGCATTTATCAGTGTTCTTAAGTAGATAAATAGAAAGAAAGAAAGATAAATCGATAGATAGATTCAGATATAGCTATATGAGAGGAGATTTAGCAGGGGAATTGACTTACATGATTATGGAGGCTGAGAAGCCCCACAACAGGCCATCTGCAAACAAGAGACCCCGGGACACCTGTAGCACGTCTCAGTCGAAGTCCAAAGCCCTCAGAACCAGGGAGGCTGATGTTTAACTCTCAGTCTGAACCTGAAGGACTGAGAACCCGGGGGACCACTGGTATAAGTCCTGAAGTTCAAAAGCCAGAGAGCCTGGAGTTCTGATATCCATGGTCAGAAGAAGAATGTATCCCAACTCTAGAAGAGAGGAGATTTCTTTTTGTCCTATCTGGGCCCCCAGCCAATTGGGTGGTGCCAGCTCACATTGAGGGCAGATCTTCACTGGTCAGTCTACTGACTCACCCACAAGTCTCCTCCAGGCACACCCAGAAATGATCCATTACCAGTTCTCTAGATATTCCTTCATCCAGTCAGGTTGGCACCTAAAATTAACCACCACAAGGGCTTTACTTTATATGTCTAACATTCCTCAAAGAGTTCCTGGCCAAGGGCTATTGTTGTGCTCCATAGTAGAATGCTAAAGAATGCCTTTTAATAAGACAGTTCCTTACTGCTTTTAAAATGCTCTGGGCTATTTCCATTCTAAACTACTGAAGCATACACTTGTGGAAAAGCAGCAAGGATCCTTAACACATAATCTGGTGGAAAGCAGACAGGTAAGCATTTGTCTTTGGGGTGAAACTTCCCTTTGTTTTAGTGTGGACAACTTGAGTGAATTCTTTTAGTAATATATTTGTAGCGCAAACACCTATCCATGTTTTGGGGGGAAGCCCAGGATGTAAAGTAATAATCTCAAATGCAAAAGCTTTAGAGTAAGCTATTGTTTAATAACATAAATGTAGTGTTTTAGCAAGTTAATGAAAAAAAAATTACCTAAATCTGGATTTAGACTATCCTTTACGTGAAAATGATTGTGTTAGTGGAATTACGTGTCCTTTTGTTCAAGCGGTGTCCTTTCAAGGTTGGGAACCATGGCAGGAAGATCACACATCTGGACTTCCTTTCCCCTCAAGACAAATAGAATTCTGTGATAAGGATATAGACCGGCTTGAAGCTAGATGAACTGGACCGTAGGTGTCCTACACAGGAGCTATTTACGAAGGAACAGCCCTGATTTGGAAAAATGTTTAAAGACTCACTCTAGTGATTGTCCTGGGTGTGTCTTTGAGATGAGGGCAGCTTCACCCTGAAGGAACTGGATTCTCATGTTTCTGCCATCCTGAGGTGAAAAAGAAAAGGGTCTTGGACAATGGAGTGAAGGCAATTAATCCTTGTATCTTGGGAGCAAAGAGGGAATTGATATTGTCCTCTGGTATATGGAAGGGTCTGAAGATTTCTACAGATGAGGGTGCAGCTGATCCCCACTCCTATCAGGAAAAACTTGTGGGAGTCGGGTAGAGAGAGTCAACTTGTGTTTGGGCTGTGGCTTTCAAAGTAACCACTTTTAGTCATGCAATAGGTTGCCTTCAAGGGGTATTCTATTCTTTCAAATCTTTTAGTGCAGCCTTATTTAAGGGGATAGGCCCCTCCTAGATGTGCCTTGGGGGCATTAGTGAAGAGGTCTATGTCCTTGCTTGGGATCTACATGACACTGGGGAGGCAGAAAGAGTCTACGGCAAGGGGTTAGGTCTGAGTGGAGATGCTGTGCACGGATTGGTGCAATAATCCAGTAACAGTATCTGTCTTGGGGATCCCAAGAATTTGCAGAACTTGCCATCATTCCTCAGGTTTTCACTGCTATACTTGAGAAAGTAACCAAATGAAAGATGTGACTTTCTGCTTTTACAGGGATGTAGGTCAGGCTATTGTCATTTGGGCATTGAAGAGAAGGTTGCCTTTGGAAAGCTGGAGAACTTGGGGGAAATAGCTGACTTGCACATCCTTCAGTACTCCACTTAGCTATCATTCCTTCTAATGTCTCCCCAACTTCATGTCTGAGTTCAGTGTCTTTTCTAGTGTTCCTTTAGCCCCTGGATGCTATCATTTACACAAGCAAATAATAATTACAACAGACTCTTATTGAGTACTTACATTGTGCCAAACACTGAGTTAAGTGCTTCACATGGATTATCTCATTCAGTAATTTGGTAATCTCCATTTTTCAGCAGAGGACACTGAAACCTAGAGAAACCATGTGATTTGCTTCAAGTCCTACAGAGAGACACTCATAAGCCAGATTTTGAACCAAGATGGTCTAGTCCAGAGCCAGTACAAGCAGGATTTAGAATATACTAATTTTATTTATCTCCTTGTTCATTTTTTTTAAGTACTATGAGCTTTCTTAGGATAGTCTCTTTCCTTTATATCTGTATCCTTATCTTTTAATATAGGGCTGGGCACCTTAATAAGTGTTTGACAAATGTTTATGAAAGGGATAAATGAAAGATACAGCCTAAGGCATAAAATTTTAAGACAACACACTGAAGCTCTTATAGTTTATGACTGAATAAATAAAGTACTCAGCTCTCCTCTTGGTACATAATTATCATTTAATAAATGTTAATTATTTGTTATCATTAAGGTAGTTATTTTATTATCATTTAAGGCTGGAGGATCACTTGAGGCCAGGGTTTCCTTTTTTTTTTTTTGAATCTTCTCACATCTGTATTTGAAAGGCACAGCTAAGCCCACCCTTGATACAGCATTTTCCACTTCTCTCTGTAGAGATCAAACGACTGAACACAAGATAAGCTGACTGTATACAGACACAGGTGTGGGTGTTGCTTTTTTTAGAATCATTTTTGTCTTTTTTTTTTTTTTTTTAAGATCCCCTTTCTTAAAAGACAAGCTAGTACACTGGAAAAAGAATAAAATAAAATAAAATAAAAACCAAGACAACTTTAGTACCCTCATCTTTATTTGGGAAGGTGGGGGGAATCCTGGGTCGCCCACTGTCACCCTGCTCTTCCCAGCTCAGCTAAGCTCGTCCCTTGTGCCCCCGCTTTTGTGGGCGATGGGAGAGGACTGGGTGGGCGTGGAGGCCTCTGGAACTAGCAGAGGCGGTGAATGGGGCAGGAGGTGGAGGTGGGAGCATATCTGGGACCTGGGGTCGGGGGGGACTTGGGTGCCCAGGACAGGAAGGGGGCAGCTAGCATTGCGTGCATGCAGTATCAGAGTGAGAGAGCTGTGGCGTGTGCCCCAGGGAGCCCGGGCAGACTGTCAGTTACACGTGTTCAAAATTGGGGGGGGGGAAGGGCCGAGGGTGCTGGGCTTGTCGAGGTCTTGCTGCCTTGGGACCTGGTTTCCCATCTGACCCTCCAGGCCTTAGCTTGCCTCACGTGTCAGGGCAGGTATCCACCTATCCAGGCTGCAGGGGAGGAGGAGGGAGGCCGGGACTGGGGTACGAAGAAAGCTAGAGGTGGCCTGCAAGCCGTGCTGGGGCCCCCGCAGGCGGCCGCCATGAATACTATGGGAGTTTAGCCAATCCTGAGCTCCACTGTGTCTTGTGCTAAAAATTCCTTTCTCTCTGTGTGAGGCCAGGATTTCAAGACCAGCCTGGACAACGTGGTGAGACCCCTGGATCTCTGCAAAAAAAAAAAAAAAAAAAAAAGTTATATTTATTAGAAAAACAATTATTTTTGCATAGGAATGCATCATACGTCTCAATTTTTCAAAATTTCCTTCACTTTAATCACATATTTCCATATGATTTTAGAAAGAGGTGAATGGTTAGTTTCTATGCAGTATTTTGAATGTATAGGAGTTAAATGTCACTTTTGATAGAGTTTTCTCTTGAAATTTGAGCTGTGCTTGCTTGAAATATGAATATATTTAACTAGAAAAGCAGGCTGCTACAAGTTCAATGTAAGAAATCTGTCGTGTAACAATTTGAGAATGAGGATGACACTAAATGTAAAAGGTTTCTTATCATATGTGTCCAGCACCATAGCCTGAGGACAAAAGCCAACTGCCAGATTAGAGGAATATTGTGATTTTAGTATACAAAACTAGCTTTCTTATTTTTTGCTTCATAGCCAATCTATTCTCATTATTCTTACTACAAAAGTTCCTAAATTGATTTTACATTAAAAATTTTATAAATATAAAATGTATTATGATACCTACTTACGGTATTGGAATATCCTGATGTGGATGTCTTTGATGAGGTAGCTCAAGTAAATTATTATATTCTCATTATTGTTATATTTATCGTTTACCCATTTGTGGCAGAGCCTGGTTGTTGTACCTTCAAATATCCATTCCCTTCCTCCATAGGAACAGAATCTTGCATTTATATGGAGGCAATACACCCAAATAATGGACTTAGCCTTCCTTGCAACCAGGTGTGGGTGGATTCTCTGTTCAAAAAGATCAAAATGGAAGTGTTGTGAGTTATTTTGGGAAAATCTCTTTTAAAAGGAGAGAGTAGATCCTTCTTTCCGCTTATTTTTTCCCATTGCCTGGATTGTACACCTAATGCCTGGAGCTCCAGCAGCTATTTTGGAACATGAGGTGACATTGAGAATAGAAGCCATAAATGACAAAACAAAATGTAGAAAGATCCTGGGCCTCTAACACCATGAAGCCTTAACACTAGCATTGAACTACCAATTTCCTGCCTTCTATTATGTGAAAGAGGTATAAACTTTCATCTTATTTCCACTGTTACTTTGGGTCTTTCTGTTACATATGGTCAAACCAAATCCTACTAAATAAACCATTATTTTAATGAGGTATCAGAAACTTTTCAAGAGAACTTTCTTTGTATTTCTATTAGTGTGTCGAGGTGCCTTCATTGTGTGGTGTTTTGTTTTGTTCATCTCTAACCTCCTGGTCCTATCTTCCCTTCTCTAATACTCTCGTTAATTTCTCTTTAAGATGTCAGCGATTTTGAGGACCCTTATTGCTATACTCCTGTTTTCAGTATTACTCTAAGGATCTTATCATTTTCTCAGATATCTCTCTTTTCTCTGAAATTTGCCTGGGGCCGCAGCATAAATCTACAGTTACAACCATGAAGATAGAACTTGCTCATTAATTCAGAGGGCAGGAACTTGTGAACACAACTGTTCTAAGTGATATTTTATTTAATAGGATTTGTGGATACTAATTTTTAGATAGTGTTTCTAGGATGATAGATTAGCAAATAATGAGTTGAATACAGACAGTCTTGATTTCAGCCAAGCATTTGATAGTCTCTAATGAGAAACTGCATACAAAGAACCCTGACCAAGGAGTCTAGAGCTTTGACTCCCGGCTCTGACATTCATAGCTATAAGAAAAGATATCTTTTGACTTGGAAGACATCGAAACTCCTTGAGCCTCTGTTTCCTTATCTGTAAAATGAGCTGTGATAATGATAAAATGAGCTGTGATAAATATTAAATGAGTTAATGCACATGTAATAATACAAACATTTTTGTTTTTAATTCTAATGTACTTTGCAAACATAATGTACTTTGCAAACATAACATACTTTGGGTCAATGGTAAAAATCTGGGTCCAGAACTAAGTATAATCTTGCTAGCTATGTGATTTGGGCCAAATTATTTAATGTCTCTGAGCCTCAGCTTTCTTACCTATAAAATGAAAATGACGATAGTACAGCCTTACATGGGCTGTTATGAGAATTAAATGAAATAATGTATGTGAAGACTCCAAGGCAGTACCTGGTACTCAAAAAATGAAAAATATTATGGTTATATATACCATATATATTATGGTATAAAAAATACTTGTGGTTATTGCCATTATTATTTTCTTGGAGATAAATGGTGAACTTGGAGAGAAATGTCTTGCTGACATTTAGAGTAGATAAATGGATGTATAGTTGACCCATACTATAAAAAGAATATCTATTACTAGCTTAAAATCAACTTAAAGGAACAAATTGGGTAGAATCTTGCAGGCTCAGCCAATGTTTTTATTAATGTGATGTGTGAAGATCAAGTTTGCTTATTACATGTGATCATAACACCAAGTTGGGAGGAATGAAACCATGGATGTAATATAATGGAAAAGACTTGGAGTTTGAAGACTTTGACTTTGAGACCCAAAATTCAACCATATGACTCAGTTTCTTCATCTGTAAAATGATATTAACACTAGCAAAATACCAGGAAGATGCATTGTGAGTATATGTTTTAAAGTATCTCACATAATTCATGACTCATTCTGAAAAATGACAGTAGGTTTGCTTGTTTACCATTTAAAGTAGATCCAATAAATGGCAATAATATAAATACCATTTACCAGCTTCAAACTTATGCAATTTCTTTTAAAAATAGGAAATTTGAATTATTTCAAATTTTATTCACAAAATGTACCTTTACTAGTATTTCCAATTCATGTACTAAAAATTTGCATAAAATGAATCAACCTGGGCTGCTACTCAGGAGATGGCTGGATTGTTTGGATTCTGAAACCAGTCTGAAACATTGGGAAGATTTGAGAAGAGCAATTTGACCAAAACCTGATGGTTGTTCCTAAAAAGATCAATTTTGATAGAAGACTGACAATATACTTTTTTTTTTTGGTTTCTCAGCCCTATCTCGGAGACAATGATGCCCTGCTGGTGTGGGGTAAAAGCTGGTTGGAGTTGACAGATAAGCTAGATTTATGTATTAAGTTGGATAAAACTGAAATTTGAAGCTATACTGGGTACCTGTTATTTTCCTGTTTGTCATTCAGACTACAGGAAGGGTCTAGCCACAGATATCTACCAACAATGGCTATATCAAATGCATTCTTTCAGTCTTACTTGACTTCTAAAGCCTTGTGTTTTTATGGCTTTGCCATAGCTACTGTGGTGAAGAACTCTATGTGGGCCCATGCATTTCTCTTACCTGAGGCTAACGCTCAGAGTCTCTGGCCTGTCTTAGCATTACTAGATTTCTATGAAGTCCTACAAAGAAGACTAGCTGCTAGTGGCTGCTGAAGTGGCCACAGCCTGGGTGTTTAGAGGAATCCACTCCTCATAGAGCAAATCTTGATTAGGGAGAAATAGGAATCAGGATGGAGCTAGCAGATAAATTCCCTCTCTACTTCTCCCTGCAGTGGACTGTTCGGAGTTATGATTTTTCCATATAGCCTGTCCAGACATGTCCTGCATGGCCAAGTGGGAGTCAAGCAATGCTTGTTTTGGAATGGTAGCCAGTGTGATCAATGCATTATCTTACATTTGCTTTCCATCCTCTGCTTCTTCAATTGTCTTTTCCTTTTCTCTTGTTGCCCTGGGATTACACTTGTCCATAAGCCTTGCCTCACACTCATTTTTTTTTTTCTAAAGAACTCAGACTAGAGCACTTACTATGAGCAGTAAATTCAGCTAGGTACTGAGTCCGTACCTTCTAAAAGCTACCATTTAGGTTAAGAGACAGACACATGAAGCATACACTACAATACAAAGCCACGCATGATGACAACACATGATCTCATCTTTGAGATCCTCCAAAACTTGGGTAGTTATCTCGGGTTCTGGTGATTTCTTTTTGCACTACTCATCACATCCTGATTTGCCTCTAACGTTGCAGTTAGTCCTCTGAGATTTATTTAAACTCTTCACCTTATGTGAAGGCCAGCATTTTCCTTGGAGTTTCAATATTTTGAATGTGTTTGTTTCTGTGGATATTTTGCTTTAGAAAATATGCCACTTAGTTTTTCTTTAATAATAGCATTTTATCATAGTTCTCTTTTCAAATCAAATTACTGTCAGATTTTTTGGCTATTTGTCTGAGTCAGATAATTGAGTATAATGATGTTGTTTATCCATAGACATTGTTTAGACTAATTTTTGTCCTGCTTTGTGAAATTAATTTAGCAGTCCTTGCAGCCTAGCTAGCTGCCTATATGGTACTATGGTGGGTGTTTTGGACCCAGACTTTATATTTTTGAACACAGTTGTCTTGAAGTGGAGACAAAAATGTGATTCAATTTGAAAAGTACCAGAAATTTGCTTTAGTTGACTAAAGGTAGAAGATAAAATGTGTTGTGCGGGAAGTCTTTTTCTTCATTTTGGGAGGATTACTTTGTTGAATTGTCTTATTCATGTGGATATAAATTAGGTATATAGGTTAAATATTGCTGCTTAATAAATCATCCTAAAACTTGCAACAAGAACAGCAATTTATTTTTCACAAAGTTTCTGAGGGTCATTAACTCAAGAACAGCTTAGCTGGGTAGTTCTGGCTCAGGGTCTGCCATGAGATTTGTTAATCCATCACTTGGCAGTTACGATGTTGATCAGGGCTGTAGTCTTCAAAAGCCTTTACTGGGGCTGGAAGATCCATTTCCAAATGGGCTCACTCATAGGGTTGGCAAGTTGATGCTGGCAGTTGGAGGAGGCCTCATTTCCTCATCACTTGGATCTCTCCATGGGGCTGTTTTGGTATTCTCATGACATGGTAGCTGGTTTCCCCAGCATGAAAGATCAAAGAGAAAACAAGGATGGGGTAGAATGTTTTAAATGCCATAGCCTTGAAAATCACACATTGTCACTTCCACTGGATTCTACTGGTTGCACAGACCAACCCTGATACACTGTAGGAGGGAACTATACAAGGAAGGTAATGAGCACCAAGAGGCAAGAGTCATTAGGGAGCCATCTGGAGGCTGGCTACCACATTAAATTTTATCAGTTATTTTTCTTGAAAGCCTTTTAACTATGGAGTAATCCAAATGCAAATCTCATCAGACAGTGATGAGAGGTATTTTGTTTGATAATAACATTCTCAAAGGCTGACCTGATAGGAGATCAGCATGCATCTCTGCAGAGATTAATTTAATGGTAAGTGATTTTTCTTCCTCCTCTGCTGGAGAGACCACAAGTGGTAGTGAGAAGGGAAAAAACGAGATGCCCACTGGAAGGATTCATGGGGATGGGGTAAAATCTTAAGTTCTTTGCAGTTATAACTTGAGTAACTCAAAGTTCCAGTGGCTCACACTTCCGGCAAAATTCCCACAGAAAGTTATGTGATTCTCGAAAGGGGCCCTGGCTTCATGCATGCCCACAGTCCAGCCCATTAGGAGCAATCATCACATGGGACTGTTGTGTTCTCTCTCATGTTCCAGCTTCCCTGAGTCCACATCTGCAGCCTCCACTTTGCCTGTGATAATAGTGCCTATTATAAGAATGCCAAAATCTTCACGGAATATACTTTTTCCCTGAAGCTACAAATCCCCTAGGAGCCAAAGGGATGCTGGGCCCAGTGCAGCAGTCACACAGGGAAATCAGCCCCTTTTCTAACTTTTGGGTCCACATCATTGCCAGGGCCCTGAAGCTGCACCACCTGTGCCCAGACCATCGCAAAGTGTTTCATGAAAACAGGTCCTTTTTGCCTTTGATTAACTCTCCACCAAA